GGTAAAACGTCATCTCGCTTCAGGCTCATATAGTAAATTCCCCGGTATGTGCAACACGAGGTCGTTACACATAAAACGGTTAAAGTGTAATGCGTGACAATTATTCCAGTACAACAGCCCTTTGGGATTGAAGTTATTTTTCAGATTGTACTTATGGGATTCCTGTGGATTTGACGGGAACTTTCCCGCCAAAACGTGAACGCTGAAACTCGCGTTGTAACTGGACAACATTCGAGAATAACAATGCGCGAGATTTGCTACTCACTTGGGGTAAAATCGGTTGCATTTTGATCCAAGCCAATCCTACAATTATTTATGACATCTAAATTGTCTGCTAGATATGTATGATTTGTTGCTTGGTCCTGATTGGCTAAAGTTGGATTGCTTTGTTTTCTCTCTCTTCATCATGATCATTGGGCAAACTTTGTAAAAGTGGTTCCAGTAAAGACCCTGACAAACGGCCCCAACATTTGCCTGAACATTTAGCCAACATTTCTTGGGATCAATGTTGAGACCCTTTGCCATGGTTGGGTCAAATGTTGAATCAAGATGCTGGGTCAAAATGATGACTGAGTCAAAATGTTGGGTAAATGAAAATTGCTAAATATTGGGTCATATGTTGGCTAAAAGTCCAGTTGGTCAAATTTTTCGTTCGAATGTTGTCTTACTATGGGTCAAAATGTAAATGGCAAAATGTTGGGCCAAAATATTGGATCAAATGTTCGCTAGATATTGGATCAAATGTTCGCTAGATATTGGGTCAAATGTGAGGTCAAATTGTGTCCGCCACATTACTAGTAACAAAAGTAGTTAAGAAAATGAAACAAAACTGTTTTATTGCAGGTTGTCCATAACTACGGTCACGGTGGTTCTGGTCTATCCGTTTGTTTCGGTTGTGCTGACGACTGCCGTGATCTTGTCATGGAAATACTCGCTGGCAAAATCAAAGCAAAACTCTGAACGCCGAGTTAACAAATAGACATCAGCCTTATTTATGTCTGTCCTCTTATTACAGTAAACTAGACACATATCTGCGTGAATTAAATCTTTCTTTACGTGCGAGAAATTCTGTTTTTGGATACAAATTTGCGTAAGAATTTTTAATGGCATGTTTGGCCCCAGACCAGGATCCTGGACCGTTCAGTCGACATTGAGAAGGAGTGCAGGGTCCAAAGATGCAAAGAAGAGCCAGGAAAGGGTCTGTTAGTAAGAGCTTCCATAAGGATGGCTTACAACCAATCATCTCAGCAATTTCATCCTTGTAAGCGATGCTAGAAACCTTTACCAGAGAAAGAAATAGACAATACAAACATTAGTACTGGATAGAGAATTAAGGGTGGCGTGGTGCTCAGGGGGGTGATCCAGGAATCTGTAATGGGGGGCGTAATATTACCGTATACTTTGCAAAACGAAAGCAGTGGAGGTCCAGGGGCATGTTCCCAGTGTCCTAAAATGCTTTTTCTGCGTTCTGGGGATATTTTAGATAAAGAGGGTAAAAAATTGCATCCCAAACTAAACAAATGAAATGCGACTTTAAGGTGTACCCACTGGACGGAATTCTGCGATGTTTGAATACGGAATATCTCCCTATAGTTCAGTTCTGAGAAACAAACGGTTACATCCTTTCCAAAACCTTGTCGGCGCCTGCAACTGTTTGCCCTCAACGGAAGAATCAAATAAAATGCAATGGATGGCAAAAAGAAAATGAATTGTACCTGAATTGTGCATCGTTTAGATTTGATGAACGTGTTYTCCATTTTTCGCCTTTYTTCCTGGATGTCTTTGACCATGGCATCTCTACTTGGCAAATGACACTTGCCTAAAATCACCTGCGTTACCAAACGAGCTTGCAACTCTATCAAAGGAAACATTGATCCCGAGGACTGTGTTAGACCGATAAATGATAATGTGGAATGTGGATGGTCTGGAGGAAAAATATATTTGAACAGTGAGACCTGGTTATCGTGAGTCCTAAGAACATCTTCACTTAAGAAGTCAAAAACAATTTTGTATCCCGTGCAGAAGACAACAGCATCCAAGTCTTCCACTGTAGTGTCATCATCAAAGACGACATCTTTTTGTGTAAAGTGCGATACGTTTGGTTTGATTTTTAGCGTTCCATTCGCAACACGGTGTGGGAACTCATCACTTATGACAGCTGGTGCATTCAAAATGCCGTGCTTCGGGCGAATACCAAAAATTTCATGATCAAATCTTCCGTTCGCCATATTCATAAACAGCGATTCCATCAATTTTGTAGGGAATATTTGGTAGATCCTTCGTTCTTGGTATAAGTCCCATGGTAGGCCTCGGCTCGATAAACRAGATATTACCCAGCCTCCTCTACGGGTACTGAGGTATACTTGCGAGGCTTGGTGGCTTAGCTCTGTTGCGATGTCTGCGGCGGAATTTCCAAATCCTGATGAATTTAATAATAATAAATAATTATCGGACAAGGCATAGTTAGCATGATATCGGAAATGTTTTCCCATTTCATACCATGTGTCATTCCCTAGGGTTCAAAGTCCTTGGTTTAAGGTTATGCATGAAAAGACACGTATGAATATGGAAAACATCCAAGGTTAAGAGGTCTATCATCACTGATGAGATGTAAGTTCTTGGTTTTGGTCAAATTTGTTGTATGGGTTATCATGCGAATCCTTACCATCTCCCCGAGGTAAACGGTCCCTTAGAGCGCATGCAGTAAAACCATGAAATAAAAACAAAGTTGATACTGATAAATAGGACTATATAGTGAGTAACAGTTGCTATCACTCAACCAGAACATTCATCATACAACACAAGAGACCATTTGTGTCTTGTTTAATTTTGTCTACTAGAGTGATTTTCATATGATCGTGAAAGAATAGGCAAACTAATAGTTAGTAGTAGACTCTAAACCAATGATTTTCTTTTGTTCTTTATCAACTATTACAAACTAAATGGTCTATTTTCTTTCACGGTCATGTGAAAATCATTCTATTTGTCAGTATCGACTTTGTTTTTATTTCATGGTTTTACTGCATGCGCTCTAGTGGAATTCTATACTAGCAACTTCTATAAATCAGGGCATGTTAGCACCTTTTATTTTAGTATTTTTTCATAGTTGTTTCTCAACAATAAATAAAGGATTAAAGCGCGCGATTGGCGTCAGTACTTACCTACTACCAGGACCTTCTTGTTTTCAAATCCATGTGTGTCCTTAAACGAGTGACTATGAAGCTGTCTTCCTTCAAATGTTTTTAGTCCAGGGAAGCTCGGTAAGGAAGGATACCAAAGGTGCCCAGTACAAACCATGACAGCATCAAAAATCATGGTTATAACGTCTAAGCCTTGAGTGTGGTATTTCACTTGCCATTTCCCAGATAAACTGTAATCTTCGGCTTTTGTTATTGCTATAACTGTGGTATTAAAGGTGATGTACTTAAAAAGATCGAAATGGGAAGAGTAAAGATGCAAGTATTCCATCACCTCGTTGTGTGACATAAAAACTGAGAACCTTTCTGGGACTGGGAAGTCAGAGAAACACGACATTTCCTTGCTTGTGTTGATCGCAGTCGACCTGTAGACCGAGCTGTGCCTTTCATCTTTAGTAAAATTCCACAGTCCACCGATCGAGTTCTCTCTCTCGAAGCAGACTGGCTCAAGGTTTTCTTCGATGCATGACTTGATGGATGCTAGGCCACTTGGTCCCGCTCCTAATATCGCCACTCTCATGCTTGTTAGTAACTAAACAACRCCTTTTTAGCCGTTTTTACTACTACGACACTTGCTTTCAGATAATCTGAAATCGAGTTCTCGAGAATCATCTTTTAAGACCTTTTTTAAATTCTTGTGGAAATCGCGTCATTTCCTCTCAATTCTAATTTCCCATGGCTTAGTTTTTGTCCAAGTTTCCATTCACGACGTGAAGGCCCACTGTTGAG